TCATTGAACCACAATACCGATAAGTGATTAATAAAAGTCAAAAGACCAAAAAGGTCATCTTAATACCAAAAAAAAAATGTATAGAGAAACATATAGCCAACCAGGCTGCCAGACTTGCTAAAGAAAAAGGATACAGAAGTATATCATACTGAGCAATCTGAATTGGTAGTCTAAAATAGGACTAACAGTTCTGAGTTATAGCTAGTAGAGAATGATAAAAAAGATGCCAGAAAGATAGATACTAGGATTCTAGTAAACTTTACAAGAGTAAAAATAATGTAATATAGCAGTTAAACAGATAACTCTTATAATTGCAAGTATTAGATAACTATAGTATATTGTATAAAACTAGGTCTATATATATAAGACATAAAGGCTCTAGTAAGTTTCTTGTTAAGGATAAAGTAGTTCTAAGAGTAATGACTAGCATCAGAAACTTGAATAGACAGAGTCTTGAAATGTTCTTGTAATACAAGAAAGATTGCATATATAAAAGGTTTAAATAAGCAAGACTCCTAGTTGGCTTACAAGTATAGCAACTAGTATAGAACTTATATAGCAATATGTAAGCAGACTACTTAAATTAGGCACCAAAAGTGCATATGTGGTTAGTTGTAACCTCCAATGTAAGTTGAGTCTTTGGTGGCATGCTATGTTCTAATATACTTGAATAAAAATGTTGCATCCTTAAGACAGAAACTTTAATTATAAAAAAAATATATATATATAAATTATTAATAACCTAATAATTTTTTAAACAATATTAGAAAAAATAAAACAAAACTAGTAAAACCAAAAGTTATATATTTTAAAAATATAGATATTAACCTTAAATGTATTTGTGTTTGTTTTTTTTAGTTATTGTTTTCTTGTATTATTTCTTATTCTTTATTGACAAGATTATAAATCATTAATAGCATTATAACAGAACTATTGTATTTTTAAAAAAAGCTAATATATTATTTATTGCTTTTTTTTTTTAATATTAAAGTTTTTATCTTTAAAATGCAACATTTTTATTTAAGTATATAGGACATGATATGCTATCAGGAGCTACTTTATATTAGAGGTTACAACTAACTACACATACATTTTTGATACCTAATTTAAGTAGTTTGCTTATATATTACTATATAAGTTCTATACTAGATGCTATACTTGTAAGCCAACTAGATGTTTTGTCTATTTAAATTCTTTGTATATGCAATCCTTTTTGTATTATAAGAACATCTTTAAGACTACATCCATCCAAGTTTTCAGTACTGATTAGTATCCTTAAGACTACTTTATTCTTAACAAGAAACTTACTAGAGCCTTTATGTTCTAAATATACTGATCTAGTTTTATGCAACATGCTATAGTTATCTAACACTTGCAGTCATAGGACTTATCTGTTTAACTTTTTATAAAGTTTACTAGAATTTCAGTATCTATCTTTTTAGTATCTTCTTTATTATTCTTTACTAGCTACAATTCAGAACCATCAGTCTTATTTCAGACTACCGTATGTTTCTGAAAATAAGCTACCTTTTTTTGGCAAATTTTAGACACAAAAAATGAAAGGTAGCTTATTTTCAGTATTTACTATTTTTAGAGTAATTTAGGTTCAACAAAAGGGGTAGCTTATTTTCGATACTTTCAATACTAAAAACTCTAATCAGGTAATGTAACATTTACTTTAGGTTTATCTTGTAAAAATTTATTTGCAAGCTAACCGATAATGCATATAAGTTGTTTATATATATTACTATATATGCACTAATGCTAACATTAAAAAATCATGTCATACGTACATATATGTATAAGTATACTATACCGGTAATCGCTCAACTATCAAAGAACTGGCTTTTTTTTCTCAAACTTTAAAAAAAAAAACTATTGATATATATTGTTAAATACTAGTAGCCTGAGAAAAAAAAATAAAAAAAAAATAAAAATCATGATACTTGGACTTTTTCCACATGTTATTTAAAGCAACAATCGCTTTTTTTTTTTTTACTATATAAAAAAAAAAAAAATAGAAAATACTAGCAGCCTGGGAAAATATAAAAAAAAAGAAATAAAAATCATGATACCTAGGCTTTTTACACACTATACGCACACACGTACACAAACAATAATAATCATTTTAAAAACTTTTTTTTTTTTTTTAAACCTCATCATATGACGCGAAGTCTTTTACTTCAATTTTTTTTTTTTTGATTCAATTTTTTTTTTTCACTACATATTCAAATTAAGTGATCATAAGGCAATAGTTGGTAAATAGCCTGAGAAGTCACCTGGAGAAGTAATAAAAAGAAATGGAAATTGTAATAAAAATCTGGGCTTTTTTTATACATCACCTTCGTTCTGAAATAAGGAAAGTACAAGCAGAGGTACTTTATATAAATACTACTGATTTTCTTAGAAATGGAAAAGCTTTTTTAAAAACATCACAAACTTTTTACAACTTAAGTTATGAAAAGACAAAGAAATTCATATTCAATAGAAGAAAAGCACCAGATCGTGGAGTTGGCTCGTCATACTTCAAATACATATATTGCCAACCATTATTCTTTAGATTTAATGATGCTTGTCCGGTGGGTCAAACTATTTTCACAAGGCACCCCTTCCAAAAAAAACTCATGAAGGGTTGGTTCTGGGTGTCACGCGTTTTTTTCTGAAAAAGAAGCTCAACTTTATGAATGGGTGAAGGAAGTTCGACAAAACGGTCTTGCTGTTACATATTCTAATCTGAGGATAAAAATGGCTGAAATAATGAGTAAAAGTTCTAAACAAACAAAAGATGAAACCAAAAAGTTTGCAATTAGCAACTTTAAGTTCTCACTATGATGGCTTCGCTGTTTTTTAAAGCGCTATGATCTTTCTTTTCGGCGTAAGACTAAAATCACACAGAAGTTACCGAGAGATCTTGAAGACCAGCTTCTTAGTTTTTAGCAGTTTGTAATTCGTCTTCATCAAAAAAATGAATATCCTCTTAGTTTGATAGCCAATATGGATGAAACTCCCATTTGGTTCAACATGGCAGGGAATTTGACAGTGGATCAAACAGGTGCAAAAACAGTACATATCTGAACAACCAGCAATGATAAAAATCGATTCACCGTTGTCTTGACATGTCTTGCTGATGGTACTAAGCTCTCTTTGGTTATTATCTTTAAAGAAAAGGTTTGGCCAATTAATACACTTTCACTTCCAGCTGGCATGGTTGTTTGGTTCCAGGACAAAAGGTGGATAGACAAACCAGGAATGGAAAAGTGGATAAAGTATTGGAACCGTGAATGACCAAGACATTGTAATTCGAAAGCAATACTTGTATTGGATTCTTTCTTTGGACATATTACGGATCGGGTTAAGGCTGAGTTTCGTTCAGGAAATACTGATTTGGCTGTAATTCCTGGGGTCTCACTAGTATGTATCAGCCTCTTGATGTTTGTATTAACAAACCTTTCAAGAACAAACTTCGAAATTATTGGCATGAATAGATGGTGAATGGTGGTAATGGCTTTACTAAGGGTGGAAACTTAAGACATGCCGATTTGAATACAGTTTGTCATTGGGTTTTGAATGTCTAGAATGACATTTCTGATGATATTATTGTCCAAGTATTTAAAAAATGTGGTATCTCCAATTGCTTGTCAGGAAGTGAGGATCATTTAATCTACGATGATTGTAAGGATGATAAAGATGATGAATCTGATGAAGATGCTGCAGGATCTGATGAAAATAAAGAATATGATGAACAGCCTGATGAAGGTGAGGAGCCTGATGAAGGTGAGGAGCCTGATGAAGGTGAGGAGTCTGATGAAGATGAGAATATGTACGAATATAATAAGTGGCCAAAATGTTATATCATTATTGGATAAGGCATACTTGAAAGAATTGTATACCATATAGTATAAAGTAAGGATTCGAATAATAATAATAATAATAATAATAATTATTATTATTATTATTATTATTATTATTATTATTATTATTATTATTATTAT